CATGCCAGGCTGGTCTACATAGTGAGTTCCAGGCCAGCTGGGGCTACAGGGAGACCCTATCTCAAAAAAGGCAAAAAAAAAATACTGATTCAAGGGGCTGGAGAGATGGCTCAGTGGTTAAGAACACGGTCTGTTCCAGCTACTACATGGTGGCTAAGAACTGTCTATAACTCCAGTTCCAGGGAACCCAATGCCCTCTTCTGACCTCTGCAGGCATTGCACGACATGGGTGCACTCACATACATGCAGGCAATACATATATAAGAAAGAATTAGATAAATTATAATAATAAATAAAATATCAAAAAGAAGAATCTCAGTACAACCGTCCCATCATTCCTGCATGCTTTTGAAATTGGAATGCATTTCACTTCTGAAGTATGACATCCCGAAATTGATAGACAGAAGCCATCTACCAAATTAAACGACAATTAAACTGCGTCTTCTGAAGTCTAGCTGCAGAATGTCCACATAAAAGTATCAGCACATCCAGTGTGGTGCTGCACACCTCTGATTCCAACACCGAGAAGCTGGGGCAGGCTGATCCACGAGTTTGAGGCCAGCCTGGGCTACAATTGAGACTCAGTTTACAAAATCAAAATCAAACAAAAACAAAGCAAAACAAATGTTCGGTGTGTTTCTGTGTTTACAAAGGTATTTGAAATGTAGCTCCTATCTTTTTGTTGAAATTTTGAGGTCGAGTTTTAAATATTGTCAGAGTTACATATAAATAATGTATTATTGATAGCAGTTAGAAGTCCTAAGAACACCAGACTTTTAAAATGTATGTCAAAAGTATGTTGACTAACACCTTCACGTTTCACAGACTGTCTGTTATCACGGAGAACTACGTTCAATTGGGAAATGTAGGGAAATGTGCTGATTTGTTACAATTTATTTAAATAGGCTTATAGCTCTTTTTACTGTATGATCTGGGTATATTTTGGTCACCTGGGATAGAATAATTAAATTATATTCCTGTCTTTTTAAAAATATATATAACCCCATTCACAAGAATGACATTTAAATGAAAATTATTCTCACAGAAATCATATTAAAAACCACAATAAAATGACAAAGAAATGGCTCCAAAGGTAAGCTGGGTATTGCTTATCACAAGTGAGAGCCCTAAAATTTGACATCACTTCATGTAATTTCTATATTGGAATCATCTAAAAAGTCAACCTGCTATTGAACTCAGCTATTTTAATATATTTTTTATATTGCTAATTTTTGTGTTTTTCTCTGCTTGGTTTGTTGGTTTGAGACACTGTATGGACAGGGAGTTCTGGCTCTGCTGGATCACTGTGTAAACCAGGCTGGCTGCCAACCAGTGGCAGACCTCCTGTTTCCGTCTCCTGCATGTGTCACTGTACCCAGTCCTGTGCCTCTTAGTGCCCTAACCCAACCTCACCTTCTGTGATATTTATTTGTTATCTGTTCTCTGTATATCCTCCTAAAGATTACAAATGTTTTTAGAATTTGGATATTTATCAATAAAGAACAGCCAATAATTGAAAAGAAATAATGCCGCATAAAGTAGAATTCATAATCACTATACAATGTAGGACGTGGTAGGCCTGCACAATTCTAAAAGCCAGCAGCTTCTATTTAATATTAATTACGACTAAATGTTTAATGCTTTGAACATTGACATTTTGGTTAATATTCAATAAAAATAAATTTGAAACACGATTAAATATCTATTATTTGTATTATTTTGCTGTCACCTAGTACTGAATACTGTTTTGTACTGCAAAGATCACTATCATTTAGTGAGCTGGAAATGGAAAAAATATTTACACAAAATCACAATCTATAGTATTCATTCTAGGAGTTATTTTTTATCAATTAAAACTTTATCAATAGCTGGGTGTGGTGGTGCATGCCTTTAATCCCAGTACTCAGGAGAAAGAGTTCAAGGCCGGCCTGGTCTACAGAGCCTGAGTTCTGACCACTGACCTGCAGAGAACAGGTTCCAGAGCATCTGTCCTCACATTGTCCCCCTCCCCCCCACCACACACACATTACAGCCAACAAGCTTCCAGTTGAGAGTGAGGTAGTCTCTTGAAGTAGGTGACAACTAAAACCATCTTCTGTAAAAACGATTTTATTTTGGGGCTGGAGAGATGGCTCAGTAGCTAAGAGCACTGGCTGCTATTGTGGAGAACTCGGGTTTGATTCCTAGCACCCACATGGCAGCTAGCAACCACCCCTAACTCTCATTCCAGGAGATTCAGTGCCCTCTTCTGACCTCCGTGGGCATTGCACGACATGGGTACACTTATATACATGTGGGTAATACACTCATGCACACAAAATAAAACAAAAATAAAATATTTTTTAAAAGGTTTTTTGACTATGTGTACATGTGGGTCTCTCTGTGTGTATGTGCATGTGAGTGCAGGTGTCTGTGAAGGACAGAAGGGGGTGTCAGATCCCATGGAGCTGGAGTTATAGACGGTTGTAAGCTGTGTGATATGGGTGCTAAGAACTGAACCAGGGCCCTCTGCAAGAGCGGACCATGCGCTTGACCACTAAGCCATCTCTCTATCCCCCAAAAAACATCTTAAGGAAATTCTGTTAATTAATATATCTGGCTAATATTCTAAGTAGATGGCATGCGGCAGTAACACTCACTCTAATCATATGATGTACATATGTTTGAATTACTGCTACAAATTCAGCAACATCTGCATTTTATAGCAACATATGCTGTAAGAGTCTAGAGTACAGCATCATTTTCAATAAATGCCACAGATAAATGCCTAATATTTAGGATTTCCAAAATCATAACCTAATTGACTATTAATGTTTCATTAATGTAAATTTTTTCTACATTATATAAATATGATTAATGGTACAGAAAGCACAAACCCTTTAGCTTCTTGTGCATTGATAGCCTCATGAGTGGAGCAGGCAGAAGACCACAGAGGTGAGGGGCTGCTTTTAAACACCAGGTCCCTGATCTTGGTCGATATCCACAAATCAGTTTGCAATGCATGTCTCTTACCAAGAAAGGCTGCCAAACCGTACAAAAGGCCATTATTTGTGTGTGTGTGTGTGTGTGTGTGTGTGTGTGTGTGTGTGTGTTTCTAAGACTGGATATATTTCAGTAGAATAGCATATATTTTGAAAGAAAAGCTTAATTAAAGTATGTAATACTATGTCACTGTTACCATTCAATGAAGGCCTAGAACTGATCTCTACTTGATTGAAATGTTGACGGGCTTACTCTTGAACTCCATCTACGTCCTCTTCCAGCAAGTCAGTGATCTGGGTTACTGAGAGAAAATCTGGGGACAGGATTTTTTCATGCTCCTGGAATTCAGCGTTTTTCTATTAAAAAAGCAGAAGGAATTATTTTAATCATATATTTAGCATGTGATGGATCTCCAATGAAAACTCCGGTGACTAGATATCTGTCTTGGGGGCACATGTAAAACTGAAGGGTGCTTTACAATTCAACAAATACTAATTGAATATAACCACAGGTTCAAGAGAGGGCAAAGCCAGGCAAAGACTTGCTCATCTCAGTAAGTTTAGTATCTGGTAAGAGGAAGGATGCAACTGAAATGGCAAAACCAACCCCATTCTGTTCTGGCTGACTTTGCTTTACCCTGTTTTATGCCCAGGCTTCACGTTGCAGCCCGTCAGGTGGAATATCTCATGCAGGCACTTTCAGAAGTACATTGTTTCTACAATACCAGGAATCTTACAGTTAGCCAGGTACCACATCCTCCCAGCACATCCTCCCATCCAGCCTAATCAAAACTTTTTGTTAACTGAAAACCTCTTTGCTAATTGACCTGCCCCTGGTCTGGTGTAACTATGGCGATCCGATGTAACTATGGTTATTGGCTTTGCCTCTGGCATGATATAATTGTGGTTTTAAGCTTTATAAACCCCGCCTCTCCTTGGGGTCAAGAGTTATTTGAGCATTAGTCCCCTCTCTGACTGCCAGCTCTTAATAAAGGACTCTTAATTTGACCATCACTATGTGGTGTTCCTCTGTGCATCTTGTGTGCATTAGATGACAAAACAAGATAGGAAATTGACAGGAGGGATGAGGGGCTTGATCTTAATATGCATGTATGAAATCTCAATAAACAAAAGGGAATATCTAAACAAAAAAGAGACCATGAAAAGCTGTAATAAATGGGACATTCAGTCTAAAAGAAGAGGCAACGACAGGGCAGGACAAGGAGACCCCATAGAGAGGCGGTTCACGAATGGCCTCTCGGAATTGGCCTGGGTAGAGCCCCAGGTGACCAATCAGAAGACAGGACCTGTAACATCAAGCAGTTCCCAGCAGTGCATAGACTGAACACCATGGGTGAGGTGGCCTCAGTCAGGCTGTGAGTCTTGCAATATCTAGTGGGAAGTCCTAAATTTAAGGTGACAGCAAATATTTACGGTGTGCTTACACAGTGCAAGTCCCTGGGTGAGGAGCCATGAGCATTTTAGACCCTGGCAGGTTGAGGGATGCTAGGCTACGAAGTTTTCTTCCTTACTAACATTATAAGGAATGGCACTAAAGCTACGACGTCGGGAAGGGTCGCCTGCGGCAGAGGAAGCAAAACCAGGAGTGGAGAAAAGGCACAGAGGGCGTGTTGGATAAGACAGGTCATGCCGAGTTCGGAGCTGGAGCACTGGGCTGCACTGGCCTCCTCCCACTGTGTGTGGAAACCAGTGAGCTCAGCATTTTGCATCAGGGAGATTTAAATAAGAAAGAAAAGGGGCTGATTCTGGGCCCTCCACAGCACGTGCCACCTATGTGTGGTTCAGAGCCAACCTCTCTGGGTGGAGGAAGCAGTTCAGTTCAAGTTGCAGTCCAGGGAACCACGTGGGATTACAAATGAGCTCCTAGTAACAGTGTGTCACCGGCCTTTATTCCGAGCTCTGCTTGCAACAATACGGGGGGCTCTTGGTGGAAGGCTGCGATGCTAGTGCTAAGAAGACAGGAAGTCGGATTTCAGTGGTAGAGTTTGAAGTGGGATGTTAATTCGACATGATGGAGTCAGAAAGGTCAAGTTTAAAGGGGTTGGTTAATGGGTGAGGCTGTCCAAATTCAAGGCAGGGAGAGAAGAGGAGGTGGAGGAGAAGACAAGAGAGTCAAGAGCCAACCGCCAAGGACGGGGACCCTGTGAGGGGAACACAGAATGCTTTTTAATTCACCAAACAGGTGCTGAACTATCCATGCATTTGAGGCCAATAAATAAAATCAAGGAAATGCTCTGCTATAAATGACCAGGTCACATCGCAAATTATCTTTCTTCTCCATCTCCCTCCTACTCCTACTCCCGGCCCATCCCCCCAGGGTCTCATGTATCCCAAGCTAGCTGGGAACTCACTATAAAGTACAGGATGACTTTGAACATCTTGATCCTCCTGCTCCCACCTCCTGGGTACTGGGATTACAGGTATGCATCACCATGCCTAGTTTATGTGGTTCTGGGGATCAAACCCAGGGTTTCCTGCATGCAAGGCAAGCACTCTACCAGCTGAGCTATATCCCCAACCCCACTACTTTCTAATGGCAGAATTTCAAAGCTAATACTTATCCACAATCATTATTGACTTAGTGTTCATAACTTAATGTCAGACTGTTACATTGATGCTGCACTATTAATTTAGAATAAGCAAAATAAACTAAACTAGATCATGACTGTAATTACAGACTCATGAAGAAAAACGTATTTTAATACCTTCTAAGATATACTTTGTATCTGCTAGGCACTCAGATACTTCTAAAGTCCAAATCACTATGTTTGGAAAGAAAATATTTCAGCCACACTTGTGGTGCTATATTTGTTTAAGTGTTTTGGTCATATATATCTTTTAAATATTTTATTTATTTTTATTTTATGTGTATGTGTGTATTGCCTGTGTGTAGGTAAAGTGCACCCATGTCGTGCAGTGCCCACAGAGGACAGAAGAGGCTGTCGGATCCCCTGGAACTGGAGTTATGGACAGTTGTTAGCTGCCATATGGGTGCTAGAATTTGAACCCGGGTCTTCTGCAAGAACAACCAGTGTTCTTAACCACTGAGCCATCTCTCCAGCCCAGGTTACACACACTTTTTTTAGCACTAAATTATACTTGTTCCTATAGAGTCAATTCACTTAAATTATAAGAATCTCAAGGACAATCCTTCCATCTTCCCTCTGCTTGGAATGCTGCAGCCCTGATCTGTCAACCTGGGTTACTAATGGACCACCTAGATTCGTCTTCATCCCCTACACAATACATACAGTTGACAAGCTCGGAATTTAGAGGCACTTCGGATAAGATGACAGGGAAATTGCTGATTAATTTTATGGCTTAAGCTGCCTCACTTTATCCTCAATTTGGGTTCCATTTCAAAAAAATCATTTCAGACATTTTGGGAGACACAGGGATGCCAGGATTAGTTAGAACAAATGAAGCTCGTGGAAGTGAATGATGCAGACATTCAGATCAATTCACTCGATTTGAAAAAATCTCTGGGTAAGAGAAAAGTAGGTCACACAAGAACTGTATGAACAAGAATGCAATAAAAGCAAGCTTTGCGACAGTCGGAGTTCTTCCAATAGTGCCGTGCCCAAAGTCAGTGCAGCTTTTCCTAAAGTCTGCAGGCCTAAGGTTACCTTTCAGCAGAGTTGTTATCATCATCATTATAATTATTATTATTATTATTATTTTGTTTAAAATATTCCTGGACCTATTTTAAATTAGATCTTCTCTTTGCCTTTTCCTTCTTGTTATATTACAAAGACTATTAAGTGACTACAATTCTTTGATCTGTAAAACCGAAAGCTGCAACAGAAATTCACAAACAGGCTAAAATTGTGACTGCCTATTTGGAGCTTTCTTTGTAACATTTTTTCTCCCGCTAGGAAGATCTGCAGCGGAACGGTACTGTTCACTGTTTTCACTGGGTTTGAGCAACTAGTCCAAAAGCACTAAAAATTAAGCCTGGTATTATTTACCAGATAATCTTCCCTCTGATTTCTGTCTCCTGTAATGCCACATAAACAATCCACATTTGTAAATATGTTTTCTTTCTAGAATACTGGCTTTCAGGAACGCGTTTGTATCCAGCACTGGTACTGCTTCATAGAGAAGATTCTGTAAAAAGCTTCATTAGAAGAAAGATAATAGATTTCATTTGATTAGCAAAGAGGGCTTTCCTAGATACAGGGATCATGGGTTGTCTACAAATGCTAGATTTTGAGAGTTGTGTTTTTTTTTCTCTCAAGCCTACAAATAAATGAACTAAAGAGTGGTGTTGTATTAAACCATATTGGAGCCAAGGCAAAAGAACAATCGGTAAAACGGATACTATTTTTATTTAAAAATCTGATCCATTACAGTGGTTCCTTTATTAATTTTCTTTTTACTGGCATGCTCCATTAAAATATAATGTCTGGATTACTAAGGTTCTGGCACTCCTTAAATTCTGAGCCGGACAGGGTGTCATTTGCCTCACCATGATCTTCCTAGGAAGCTCAGAGCCAATTATTTTTTTAAAAGAAAATACAGGAAAAAACAAGTAAACTAAAGAGCTAGCTGTTTAAAATGTGGATGGAATAAGCGACTCTCTGGTAAGTATGATTAAAGAAGAAAGAGAATAAATGCATGCCATGGTAGGTGGCAAAACGTTAGGAAATTGTAAGGGAATGGATGATGTCCCAGGGAAATATAAATTATCAAAACTTATCAGATATAAAGGAGAAAATTGACCTGACCAAATGGGATCTAAGCTCAAAGTCTACTTTGTATAAAATCAGCCTTCCCAGATGGAATTGTGCTTGAAATTCTACTTTATAATAAAAGCACATAAATTCTAGTTTAGTCTAAAAATTTTAAGATATAGAGAATTCAGTTTTAAAAATCAACACAATTGACATACAAAACATTAAAATAGCACAAAGAAAATATAAATAAAAATTACTAATGAACTCAGGCAACAATCATAATTATGTTATATCTTGGAAAATTGAATCCCACAGTATGTTAAATTGTAATAAACCACCATCCAGACCAAAAAGGAGATAGCCTATAAAGAATTCATGGATTGTCATTAATGACTGTGACATAATTTTAAGTGGAATTAAACTATCCAAATTTTATGATTATATACATAAATGCCAAGCAGGGACTTTGTAAAACCAGCAGCAAAACTCTTAGTAAATATAAATAGAAGAAAATGAGCTAAACATGAGGCTATCTGCCAAAATTAACAGCTAACCTCATATCATGTGGTGACATGGTGGTTATTTTAATGAAGGTGGAGAGGTGGAACTGGAAGGGATTCTGCCTGGCAACTTTACTGTAATTCAACACTATAGATCCATCACCCATCACAATAAGAACATGAAACACAGGGCTTAAATATTAGACATAAGGGAAATCAAAAAGCCTTTATTGCAAGATTACCTCATCGCATACCTAAGAAAGTAGACATCACATTAATACTGAGCTAAGAGATTTAGCAAAATGATTATACATAATATAAATATACAAAAGGCAGGTTTTTCTCTATATGAGAAACTTATTAGGAATAGAAATGACAGAAAACCCTTGATTAAATTATACATTGTTCTGAATATAATAAGAATTATAATGAAATTCTAAAAGTTTGTCAGAACTTTTCTTTCAAAGATAAGAATTGATTAAATATATATATATATTAGCAACTCCTTCAGGTCCTGGAGAGATGGCTCAACAGCTAAGAATTCTTGCTGCTCTTCCAGAGCACGTGGATGCAGTTCCCAGCAACCACAAGAGTGGCCCCACAAATGTGGTAACTCTAAGCACCACAGGTTCAACGCCCTCTTCTGGCCTCCCCAGGCATTGCATGCATGTGCTACACACACACACACACACACACACACACACACACACACATACACACTCAGGCACATGCACATACATGTAAATAAATGTTTTTAAAAAGAGAAACTTGTTCAAATCCAAGAAATGACACTTCTCTCATAAAAGTAACACAAGGACAATTCTAAACCTCCATGGAATTATTCTAGAACATTGCAAGGTAATGTTTAGGTTCTTGTGGGAGGAAACATACATTTAGAAAAAGAAAAATAGTAAGAGGGACTTTCATAGAAGAGTTGAACATAAAACAGCACAGTATTAATAAAGACTGGACAGACAAAGGGCTGGGGAGATGGCTAGTAGGTAAAGTGTCTGCCATACAAGCCTGAGAACCAAGTTCAGATCCCCAGCACCCACATAAAACAGCCAGGCAAAGTGGCATGCGTTAATCCCAGCACTCGGGAGGAGGAGAGAGGCAGATCCCTCGAGCTTGCTGCCCAGCTAGTCTAGCCTAATTGGTGAGTTCCAGGTCTCAGCGAGAGGCCCTGTCTCATCAATTAAGGGGAGAGTGACTAAGGAAGACATCCACCTTTGACCTCTGGCCTCCACACACACATGTGCACACACACACACACACACAGACACACACAAGAATGGACAGATTAGTCAGTGGGAAAGAATAGGCATCTCAAAATGTATCGTAAATACGTAATTTATATGTGCATAGAGATTCTGCATTCTGTACCATTGCTGGTTCATCTGTTATGTGTCTGATGTGACAACCATTCTCACTGGACAGGATAGTATGATCAGGAGGAGAGCACTGCCTCAATTTAAATAAACAAAATATATCTATCAGGCTGGCATAATGGCTCGGTGGGTGAACGTGCTCGCAGAAGAAGTCTGATGATTCCAGTTCAATCCCTGGGGCCCATAGTGGAAGGCAAAAACTCCCCTGAGTTGTCTTCTGACCACCACATGTTTACATGGCATGCACACACACACACACACACACACACAAATAATAAAAACCATTTAAACTACATATGTCAAAAATGAACATTAGACTTCTTAAAGACTTGATTTTCAAAACCTCAATCTTTAAATATTAGAAATGGCTGAAGATGACTTGGGTCCACCTGACAGGGAAGAGAAAGGGTAGAGGAGGAGCAGGGTGGCTTCAAGACAGTAAGCTTAAAGGACAGCAAGAAGAGAAGGGAAGGCCCTGTGTGGGTTCCCATCTCCATGTCTACAGCCTGTATCTGTTAGACACTGCTCCTGGCTACAGGTATTTGGAGGTACATCCCCTGTTATTTTTTTTTTCCTTTCTCATCATCCCATAGTCTGCACAGGCTGATCTTTATTGTATGATACCATGTTTTCATTCACATTGAATTACTCATAATTTTTATAAATACTCCTTGAAAACAAGTTGTCTGGTTATTTTGTTTTTATTTGTTAATTTTATTTTATGTGTATGAGTGTGTCGCCTGCATGTGTGTAAGTGTAGACATGTTGTGCAATGCTTGTGGAGGTCAAAAAGGGGCATCAGATTCCCCTGGAACTGGAGCTCTGGATAGCTATTAGCCACCGTGTAGGTGCTAGGAATTGAACCCACGTACTCTGCAGTAGCAGCCAGTGCTCTTAACCTCTGAGCCATCTCTCCAGCCCCTTGTTTTATTATTAATGGAGGAATTTTGTAATGTTTTAAAGGCCCAGCTAGTGTAGAGAGATTTGTCTCCAAACTCCTACTGGACAGGCTGGCAGTCTCTGAGTGTGAGGTATCATCTTTTTCCTCAAGATTGTATCTCCACCCTGATGAAGCCCCAGGGCAATATGTTCACATTCCCAAGAGAGGATAGGGTAACATATTCAGAGGATAGGGTAACATATTCAGAGGATAGGGTAACATATTCAGAGGATAGGGTAACATATTCAGAGGCGTTATTCAGAAGAAGCAATTAGGCTATAAACAATTTCATTCCCTTTTAGCTCTCTGATGTGAGCTAAATGGTACTCCTTTAAAGGATACTAATTAATAATTTTGAAGTTATTAAGAAGGTCAGTTTATGAACAAACTGACCAGGAGACTGCTGAATTTGAAGTGTATATTTATTTGCAAATTCCTTTCACTTAGATCTACACATAGCAAACCTTTACTTTGGGATTTTTCTCATCTTTCCCCTCTGTCTTATACATTCACACAGATAAAGGCTGAAAAGTTTAGTCTTCCATTTCAAAGGGAGTTCAGCAGCACTGGAGACTGGAATGCTGAGGTCAGACACTGCCCGGCTGCTTACAGGACACCACACACAGGACATCACACATAAGACATTGCTTTCCCTGGCTTTGTGCCTCACGTCTGCTGTTCAGAGTATCTCAGAGTGGACTTTTGTCAAGAGAACTACCTCTCCTGGAACCCAGTCAACCACCCGTGATTTTAATGTGCTACCTTAATTGATTGAGCATGGACTACAAGATCAGGACAATTGCTTGCTTTTTATTTTAGATATTGGTCATTGCCAACAAATGGGAAACCACAGGTGATTGAAGCTCGTGCCCGTGTTTCTGATACAGACCTGGCAGAAAAAAGTTGCAGGCCTCAGTTGACTGAATCATCTACTGGTTAAGTCAATTTAGACACAGAATTTACTAGAAATGCCACCCCGAGGGGCTAGCTCTAAGGAGGTCAACTCAGGGAGGAATATGACCTTCATCTTGCAGGAACCTTTGCAATAGACTACAAAAATGTTGTGCCATCTGCCATCTTTTCCTTCTTTCCCCTGAGGTCCCCAGACAGCACAAATGGGCAGTAGACAGGACTTGCCATTTAATGAATGACACAGTTCTAGGATGAACCATCTAGGCTGTGGTCCATAAGAACTCTGTTTCTACAGAATGGAAAATGGAGTTTCCCCCACTCTGAGTATTAACTCAACCGTTGCTTAGTAAATGAGCACTGTTTAGGGAGTCCACATTACAACACGAATCCTCCGTTGCTACTAATAAAAAGATAGTGTGCATCCTGCATTGCAAGTTATCGGGAGCATAGATCCCGCTGAGATGTGAATGGGCAGGCTGACAAAAATGACCATCACCTCAGTTCTATAAGTTGCTCATTCCTCTGGCTCATTCATTGTAAAAAATGAACTCTTTCCTATACCATAACACTTCACACATTTAATATGTGTGTATGAGTATACACATACATGTGTGAGCAGATTCATTAAACTTCAAATTTCTAGAATCTTCTTAGAAAGGGCAGTATATCCTCAGATAAGTTAGTGTATGTGGTCAGGGCCACTATACAGTCTCATAAGTTTTTTTATATGTTTAAACAACACAAAATTTAATTGGAAAATTTTCTATGCTGCTTTTGAAATGATGTTACTTACATTAGTGTTCACAAGGGAGTAACAAGCTTGGAAACCAGTTTATCATGTTAAAATGTGTATTTAATGTATGCTAATTTTATTTCAAAAGGCTCACAGGAGAGTTGGGGCTTAGCGGTCTGTGTGCAACTTTGGGAGGATCTGGGCAGAACCGGCTAGCCTGTTTGAGAGGAAGGCAGGAAATGATTGACTCTGCGTTTCCTTTGCAGCAATTGCTGAATACTTATCTTCTGCACAAAGAATGCTGTTTAGACTGGTAAGAAGGCTGGGCAAAGCAATGTTAATTAACACACCATCATTCACTCCTTAGAGTCCTTAAAAAAAGGAAAGGAAAAAGCTCCTTAGAAACAGTGTGTGATAGATTCAGGGTGGAGATTTAAACATTGTTTTAAAAAGTAGATGACAGAGCTGATGTACTAAGAATCTCAGCAGCAGGACCCATGGCTCAGCCAGGAAAGGCTCTTACCTCCAAACCTGAAGACCTACATTAGGTCTGGGCTGTCTGGGCTTGGAAGCTTCCAGAGCAACTTCCTCAGGGGGGTCCCGGAATCTGGCGTTTCCAGAAAGCCCGCCTACAGGAGGCAGCCGCAGTCTAGCCACAGAACTCAGGCGGCTCGGGCTTTGACCTTGGCCTTGACCTTGGCCGCAAATGCAGCGGGGGAAGGAGAGGGGTGCATACCTCCGAGTCCGCGGTGCTGCCAACTGGGGTCAACGCGGGGGTCAGCGCCCCTGGAGTCGCCCCCAACGGCATCTCGGTCCTGAAGTCCTGGGAGAGACGCGGCCTCGTCGCCTAGGCAACCGGGGTGGGGCCAGTGTTGCCTTCCAGAGCCCCGAGCCTCCGCTCCGCCCAGGAAGCAGCTAGGGCGGTGATGGAAACCAGCTGCCTTGCCTTTGAATTAGCGTGCAAGAAAAATTCATCTAGATACCAATTCCAGTGAAATGGTCGGAAGTGACGGCGCCCGAGGCTAAATATAAAAGGGAGATGAGAAATTATTGGGGCCTTGACTATTGATAGATTGTTGATCTTAAGCAATTTTCGTAACTTTCAAAGGTCAACATGGCATTGATTGTGGTCTTGATTAGAAGGAAAACGTGACCTGTTTTGGAGACGCATATTCAAGTAGTGATTGAGATTATATAGTCTGCGATTTACTCCAAAATAATGAGGGGAGGCTGATAGAAAATGTAAATTAATTCGACATACAGGTGAGGGTCAGTATGCTTTCCTCTTCTGCAGAAGTTTGAAATTTTCCATAATAAAACAATTGAAAACAACAGGATATAGTTCATACCCCCCCCACACACAACTTATTTTGAAGACGGGGTCTCGTGTAGCCCAGGCTGAGGATGAGGGTGAGCTTCTGAGCCTCTTACCTCCACCTCCTAAGTGCTAAGATTGGCAATTAAAGCCATCATACCCACTTATGGGAGCTGGGGGTTGGACCCAGGGCCTAATCAGTGCTAGGTGAGTACTCTCTACCACCTGAGCCACATTCCCAGCTCTTGATATTTTGGTTCTTTGGGTGATCAATAGTTGCCTTGGCAATAGAATTCACCTGCTTAGAGGTTGCTAAGTAAGGTGTTTACTGTCAAAAATCAGACACTGAGGACTTTGGTCCCCCCATGAATAAAACAAAATAGTATGCTGTTGACCTTAAGACTTTCCAGAGAGAAATAACCAGATTATTATACCTAGAAATATCCAGGAGGTTCCTCACAGTGGTCTGAGACAGTGCTAATATTTATGTTTCTCCTGACTTCAGTCCAAACTGTGCAAAACTGCCAGCCTCCCATATCAACTCGTATCTCCCTTTCATAACAGCCCCCTTACCTTTCAGCAAATGTAGCATGTAGGATTACATAACTTTGGGTTTGCACCTTTCTCTTTCAAGAGAATTCACCGTTCAAATTCCACAGGCTGTTGGCACAGGGAACCTGCGTTTCGTTGTCTCTATTTGGCATTCCTGGGGTCTGGCTTCAAGTGCTTGTGATGATGCCTTTTCCTCTAGGGTTCTCTCTAAGGAACAAGTTCGTTTCTTAATACAAAGTATAAATTCAACAAGTTTATGAATTTCAACCCCATTCAAAAAGAACTACATTAGAATGTATTAAATTCATAAAAATATAGTCAATTTATAGTTATTGCCAGACTTAATATGAAGCTACCACCTTCCAAACTCATTAAAGTGGTTAATTTTTTTTCATTGTTTCATTTTGATCTTTACTCCAAAGAAATTGAATGCAGCCAGCCACTTTCTGTGAGGTTAGGGTGATTCACGTTCTTTTAAGTTTAGTGCTTGCTCAGCTGCACACACCTGTATGCCTCCCAGGATAAGTTTGGAGCTTCCTTAAAGATGAGGGCTGTAGTTGCTTTGCTGTTTCCGCCAAGTCTGTCAGTTTCCTAGTTTTGGACTCCAGAACTGGATGGACTATCCCATGAGAAATAGAATCGGTGACAGAAGGGTCACCTCAGGAAATAAGGAATTTCAATTTTACTTTAATATAGTTAATGTTATAATTTATAGAGAAACGGGTTTAGAGGAGGTAATTTAACTTTATGGTGAAGTATTTTTTTTTTCCTCAGTAAAGAAATGGTGTTGAAAACCCATTAGCCTGAAGTCTACTTTCAATTTGCACAATTTGAAGCTGACTTTAGCCTCCATTTCTTCCAGAGAGGTGCGACAAGAAGGACGGCTTATGTTAGTAGGGCAACACTTTCTTATGTTAGTAGGGCAAGACTTTCTTCCATGCAGAGGTCAGGTACGGCTTCTAAAAGAAAGTCTTCTAAACAAAGCCTGGAGATTCCACTTCTTATTTTACTGTTTAGGTCCCGGAAGAGAAGATAAAACATATGAATCTTGGCATTTATGGTGATTTATTTTATTTTTTATGAGCTCTGACTTTTAGCACAGTCTTAAAATGTGGGATGATTTGATACTATTTGGTCATTCAGATAGACTTCTGTTGTAATGAAAGAACTCAGGTCTCCACACCTGTGGGTGTGAGTATTTTCATAATTTTACCATTTCAAGTATTGCATAGGTATGCAAGGCAAAGCGTAAACTTTTAAATACCAGAAAAACCCACAGGGACACAGTAAGAAGCTAATTTTATGATGGACATTGGTGATTGGTACAGCAGTATATGGCCAATCACAGTGATGGTGAGACCCCAACTTTCTTTTTCGAATGAGCGTTTCTCATGGTTCCTACATCACTAACTTGTTTGAAATATCTCCCAGGTTCTTCAACAATAAAGGGAATAATGTCACAAGTAAGATTAATAGCGACTTAAGAGTTCAAACACTGTGATTCTTGAAGTCTTCAATCTATTGAGTGACTCCTATAATAGTCTTCAGAGGATCAGGCCAGAAAAATTCAAATTTATCCTTTAAATGATAGTGAGAGTAATGCACTGTCCAGAATTTGGACAGTGTGTAATTTAGACACTGCACCTAGCCTTGGAATACTGCAACACTGTTTAATATGGAAGGAAAAAGCTATAGACAAAGTAATTTAATTTTTAAATAATTTCCTTTGCTTTCACCTATTTAATTAAAAAATTAGTATTTTATTTATTATTTTTATTTTATGTGTATGAGTGGATTGGCTGCATGTATATGAGTGCACCCATGTCGTGCAATGCCGTGGAGGTCAGAAGAGGGCTTCGGATTCCCCTGGACCTGGAGTTAAACACTGTAGACACCATATGGGTTCTGGGAATCAAACCTGGGTCCTCTGCAAGAGCAGTCAGTGCTCTTAACCACTGAGCCATCTCTCCTGCCCCACCTATTTAATTTTTAGCAAAGAAAGTCTTGTATTACTTAACCAAGTATGAAATATAAAGTTTTTGTAACTTTTACCAAATCCTCAAATCTAGTCTTCTTATTTTAATCAAGAGTATTAATGTATACAGGTTGATATCAGAACCTCATAAAGTTTTACCTTAATAAAACACTCAGGAGAGGAGAGTATAAAGATTAATGTTCAATGTCAACATTGGTCATCCATGAAGTAAACAGCTCTCTTGGCCACATGTTCCCTCTGTCATGACGTCCTATATCCAAGAACGTGGAAGCAAGTGGTAGTGGACTAAATCCCCCTAAATCATGAGCCAGAATGAAGAATTCCTCCTTTAAACTACATGAATCAGGTATTGGGGTCACAGTAACTAGTAAAATGCACATGCACAGGGCTGGAGAGAGGGCTCAGTGGTAAAGGGCAGGTGCTGCCCAACTGGAGATCTGAGCTCAGTTTTCAGTGCCCATGTCAAGTCGCTCACAGCTGCCTGTAACTCCAGCTCCAGGGGATCTGACATTCTTTTCTGAAGTCTGTGTGTACTGAACACATGTGTACATACCCACACACAGATACAGATAACTAAAAATAATATACATATTTTTAAAAAGTAACTAATGCAAAAAATCATTACTGGAGGAGTGGGGTGTTTTCTGTTCTGTTTCGTTCTTTACTAAACCTAACTAAGTGGTCCCTAGATGTTTAGACCTGATCTCTATAAATTAAGCTTAAGGAGCAAATTTGGTGGGTAGTCAGAAGACCAGAATGCCTGTGGAAATAGATCCAGTGGGTACCTGTGCTCAAGAGCATTTGGATGGAAATAAGAATTCCGTGAGAACCGGACTAGGACCCATTCATGGTATATTCCAGAAAACAATCTGCTTAATTTTTATTTGTCCGCTAGGAGGCTAAAGTTAAAGGTGACAGACAAGTTATTTTGGTAGAGGAAATTTGAAAACAGCATAGAATTCAAACTGTGCCACGGTTACTGGTGACCACTTTTAGTCAAACTGATGTTGGAAATTGGGAAGCAGAGCCTAAGGATTTACATAGCAAGAATTATGGCCAGAGGAGTGGACAAGAATGGTTGGAAGAGGTTAGCACTGTAAAAAGAAGTGAAGCACTCTGTATGGGTCAATAAGACAGACACCAGGTCTGAGGAACTGGGAAGGCCCCACCCATCACTGGCTTTAGGGTACAAAATTGTAAATTTGTTTGAAATACTTTTCCTTGTGACAAGCACTGTGCTCTCCCGGACATGCCTAGGGAAGTGTTCTCCCAGTCACCCTGACGCTCCTACGGCCTTAGTCCAAGGGAACCTGGCTGATGCTTGAGTTGGTAGCAGACCTTGGCGTCATCCTACGGTGGTGGTTTTGCAGGCATGGATAGTGGACGTGTTCTAGGGTTATGGGCTCTTCCACTCAGATTCAAAGGATGCCCGCAAAGCTGGGCAATGTCTAATAGCTGCAGAGGATGGTGCTGTCTGTAGCTGTCAGGGTGCTGCTGTCTAAATTGCAGCAGAAACTTCAAGATGTTGGTGGTGCCAACAATGTGGACCACGTGTGCTGTGGAAATCTCCACAACAGGAGTAGAGTATAGACATTGGACCTCCCTGGCTCTGGGGTTCTCATCACAGTACCACATGCCCTGTGTGTGAGAAACGGAGCTTTAGGGTTTAACGTTTCCCCTCCAGGTTCTGGTCTTGCTTTGGGTCCTAAATTCCTTTGCGTGCAGCCTTTTCTCTATTTTTGAATGGACATGTTTACCATTCCTTATTGGAATTGTGTAAATATTCTTTAGTTTTATTTTATGTGTATGAGTGTTATACCTGCACGTGTGTAAGTGCGCCTGTGTTGTGCAGTGCCCTTGGAGGACAGGAGAGGACATTGGGTCCCCTAGAACTGGAGTTGTGGATGGTTGTTAGCCACCATTTGGTGCTGGGTTTGGAACCCGGGTCCTCTGCAAGAACAGCCAGCGCTCTTAACCACTGAGCCATCTCTCCAGCCCTGAGAGTGACTACTAATTACTGAGGCTGACTGGGACGATGATTTCCCGTA